ACTCCGGTCCGATAACAGGCACCACACCCGCAGTAGATGTGCTCGGTGTGAGGGCTTGCAGCAAGCTATCAAATACGGCTTTTTAAAAAAACGCTATGCGTCGCCAGGTGTTTCATCAGTTTCGAGGTGTTACCTCGTTTGCACAGTATCACCTTAAAGCACTTGTTGCAGGCTGCTGAGTTTGCATCTTTTGCTGTGAAGTACAGCCAGACTTTTGACCGCTTCACCTTGGGTATTTTTAATCTGTAGCTCTGCTCTAAAAGAACGTACGTATCTGGGCCCGCCTACTATCCTTGGTAAGATAAAATGATTGGCTAGAATCCAAAGTGTATGACATCTCAGGGAAAAAAGCACCGAAATGTGCGCTGCTTTTCGGCCTGGTTACTACAGTTTATGTCAGAACTGGTGCCATAATGGCACCGGATACTGGTACCCATCCCTAAACCTATCCCAGAATTCTATCCAGCCAATTCCAGTTTCTAACAATGACGGCAGCGACTTAATTGTAATATTAGTCTTTCCTGGACACAAAATAAACTTTTAAGATATTTTACGGCGAGGATGTAGCTGTGTAAACTTCAAATATCTGCTCAATTTATCAAGACATCACATATTTGCAAAAGTGCCCTGACATTTTCAGAGACGTCTGCTACCCACCAGCTCAATAGATGACCGGGAGGTGAAGGCTCACTAGAGCGTCCCATAGATGCATGATCTGATTAGTCGACTAATCGCACAAATAATCGGTGACTATCAAAATAATCGTTTGTGGCAGCCCAACTTGCTATTGAAAATTGACCCTAAGCTTCATGTTCCCAAATCTTAGTCGGGCTGGAAGTGATTCCCTTATGAAGCATTCAATTTTTCTTTGTCTAGCAAAGATGTGCTCTACACATGTGAACAGCACTAATAAAAAGTCAGAGAGGTCGACAGTGACCACTGATTGCTCGGTAGGAGTTATTGCTATTTAGAAACTGGAGCAGCTTTTTTCTAACGCAGTTAAAAAGATAAATGCTTTAAGATCCTGACTGATAATTGACCAAATAAAAATCAATTTGTGTTCAATAAGATGTGAAACTATGATCAGAAGTTATAAACCCATCTGGAAAAGAGCTGAAAGGTTGTTTTCCCAGTAGATTTTTATACAAGTATCTTATAATCACTAAAGTCGCCTCCTGCTGGTGGTTACAGAGAACGCAGCTACAGAGCCAGCTCGTCCATCTTTTACCTACAGTCTGTGAATGTACCATGGGGACATTGCAGCCTCTTATACCCATGTAAAAATGTTACACTGTACCTGGGCTGTGGAGCGACAAAGAGGACCAAGTTCACACTTTATTTTTGGCATTTGTTTTAATGAGTTTAAAAACACTGCATGCAAAAGCCAGACAGTCTGAGAGAAAGGACTGTACGTCCTCCACATTAAAACACTGTAAAACACCGTCAGCCTGTCGCTTTCAGACAATCTAACGTCGACCGGAAGGACAAGTAGGAATAACAAGTCAGATTCACACGAAGGGCCGTGCAGCGCTCTGCTCCGAGCCCACAGGCACGGCTGTTAACTGTAAAAGACACTTGAGGCCCGGATGCACTTTGACGGCAGACTGTGTGACCCTCACGGTGAAGTAAAAATGTATTTTTAATTAACACGTTATTTTAATCGGGGCATGTGGGGGGGAAAAGAGTTCCCCACTATAAAAGCATCAGTTCTCTGCGCAAAGTTTCAGTCCAATAACGATCACCTTCTAAGTTGTCCCATCGGAAGTGCTGCTCGTGATTGTCGGCTTGGCCTCACAAACTGCCCCTGCGTCATAGCTACAATAATCAGGGTGTTGAACTATCTCTTTGTCCACATCGCTGTGCGGTTAGTGTGTGTTAGGGTTTGCAGTAAGCCGGCAGAACAGTCCTTCCTGGTGATCCTGGCTCTGTTGTTGTTCTATATGAGGTGTGTGTGTGTGTATGTGAAGGCTTGTTCGGTTCGCACCAAGAGTAATGAGCAGCATCAACAAGATAATGTGGTTACATCATCCATCTCTCTTCATCTCTGTCTCATCTGGACCAGTTCAGCAGAAGCCTTTTTTTTTTTCAGTCCCACTGAGGCCGGATGAGCAGATCTACAGCAAATGCACCGCCTGGAAAATCATCAGAAGCAGCGTAGAGGTTTCTGGTTTGGGGCACTGTTTCACCTCCTTCTAAGGTGCACGGAGGAGAGGAAAAAGCCTGAAGAGATCAAACCTCCTGCAGCACCGACAGTATACAGAGTAACTGTAAGGCTAGACGAGCGCATTTGTGGCTCGCAGCATTCATCGGGGTCATCATAAAACATATTACAGATTAAATGATGCAGATGTGAAATAGAAAGAAATACAAAACGCACAATCTCAGCCAAGTGTGTGATGTTTTACAACCACGATGAAGGCTACGAGCCAAAACACAACAGCCTAACAGTGAACTACGCTGAAGCTGTGAGCTCGTAGGAAAACAGCACATACTGGCTTTCATTTTCAGCCGCGAACCTTCTGACACACACATCACGACAGACCACCAGAGACGCTGCGAAGCAAACACTTCCTCTCACACCGTCACGTGTTTGGATATTTTGCTAACTGCTGAATGGACAATTTTTGAATGGACGAAACTTTTTTCGTCACCCTGAAGATGAACAGTCATACATTTTTTCTAGATGTAAAAAATGCTGTTTGAAGACAAAGAAAAAACCCTGTAACCGTCAGATGAGTGAGATTTAACAGGCGTTAGTTTGATATCCCAAATCTGGATGAGCAAGTACGTTGACGACAGCTGAAACGTTGCTGCGCTTCAGCAGATCACCTTCTAACTGCAGGGCTGCACGCTGCCAGGGTTAACTCAGAAGAAACTATGTTTTGGTGTGATCTCAGTCTTACATGAGTGGAACTTGGCATCAGTACGTTCCTCAAATGATAAAACCATGTTTGACTGGCTGTCATCAACACAGGCATCTCTGGCTTTTCAAAAGGCAGGGAGGGAGAAGCTCTGCAGCTCGGACGAACTGGCCACGTGCGATTGCAGGAGGGGGAAATAGTCCTGCTGCAGGGCTTCAGTCATGTCTGTGTGTATGTGACTGAAACCAAAGTGTTATTTCTGCTTTTCCTCTGATATGTCAAAAACAAGGTAGCTCTGTGTTTGCATGTGACAATCTTTGAAACACAAAGAAAAGAAATGACCCTACAATGTTTCGGCTTTACAAACGAGGCCTTGTGTGTGTGCGTGAGAGTGTGTGAGGCAGTCCGGTGTGACACAGCAGCACGCCTGGGCCCGACCCCGGGCTCCATTATAGAAAGCACACAAGCACAAACAGATACACGCGTTTGCACGCTCACGTCATCCCGGTGAGATTCTACTTGTCTGCGTCCACGACGAAGAAGGAACCCCACAGCGACGGCGTCCTCGCTGGACGTGAACGCAACGCAAACTCTAACAACTTTCCTCGCTTAAACTCTTACACAGCACTTAAGCGTACAGAACAGAGCAGGCCACGAGTATGCTGTCTTTAAGGCCGCGAAAACCTTTGTCAATTGTATTTAAGCTCCATCACTTCTTCCAGGGCCTGAGTAGCTACAGCACAGGTATCAGTTACATCCCAGCGCAGATGTTCAAGCTTCAGACGAGTCTTCCCTCTGTTGTGCAGGGCCGGAGTGCATGCCTGCACACCCGGCGGCCCAACGGCACCAGAAGCAGGGACTAACAAACTTTCTAATCGTCAAAGGCAGCGGTGGGGAATTAAGGCGGTTGTCCCCTCAAGATTCAAAGCACTGCAACTCTGATGAGGTCATCAGCACGTAATGCAATTCTCAGCCTGCTTATAAATATCATTTTTGTCTGCTTTTGCGTCTCATCTGATTATCCTGTTAGCAGAATTGGCCTGATATGATATGATGTCCAGAAACGGCCAATCAGATGCACGTGGTGTTCTACTTGGGCGGTATGACAACAACCGGAGGGCCTCTCCTCGGCCTCCACATCAGAACCTGGGCATCGTTGGCGTTGGGCCTCCCCATGGCGTTAAGAGGGATGGGCTCCATTCGAGTCAGCACCCGCGGCTGGTCCTGGTGCACCCGGCCCACCAGCCTAGCCCTGGAACCCAGAGGCAGGGACGGGTCCACTGCGATGTCAACCCTCATCCTCCACTTGATGGTGTGGAGCAGGATCTTTTCCCTGGATGTGGTGTTGAGCGCCACCAGCCAGGTGGTGAAACTCTGGTCTCTTTTGATGTTCGTCAGTAAAGGCGTGTTAGATTCGCTGACCGGCACAGCCCAGGTAACGCTGGGGTAAAAATTGTCATTCATGCTGACGATGAAGCGGGACGGCTTGGACGTGGGGCCGACTATGGTGACTGTCTCTGTCGTGTTTCCGTACCAAGGGTAGCTCACGCCATCTGAGTCGCTGATGGCCCGGACCAGGCCTTCACGGAGCTGAGGCAGCTCCCAGCTGGACCTGGAGGAAGACAGAGAACCAAGAGATCTCTGGGTAACTCCAACATTCATTCAAAAGATGTTTCATAGATTTTAACTGACGTTCAAACTTATTAAAAACACAAGTTAAGCCACTGTTGCTGTGTATGACGTGTATAAACATGGCACCAAATCCACCGATGAAAGTAGTCCCCAAAAAGCGCATTTGATCCCTGTTAGCTGCCCCTTAATGGATTCCAGGAACACGTGTAACGTGTCTGTTAGTTTGCTAATGATACCAGCATGACTAGATCCAGTTGTGGTGCTGTGGCGATTGTTTTTCCTACACTGAAAAAAGAAAATGTTGGATTTACTTAATTCAACAGTGAGGACACTGGTTGAACATAGATGTTTTGCTTTGGCAGCAACTTAAACAACAAGTTAAATCAACACAAGTTATTCATATTCAATACACCTGTGTAGTTTGTGTTTATAAAATGTGATTAAAACATGTTTAGATGAAGTAATTTCAGCTCTTGAAATATTTTTATCCTTCACAATTTTCTCACTTTATTCCAACACTATTCAATAACTTTTTATCCCAATACTATTTGGTTACTTTAAAAACTACACATTATCGTCATATTACATAATGTACAACAAAGTTTAGAGTCTGGTTAACAGATTTATAACAACTTCCATCCATCTTCACCAGTCTATTGCAGGGCCAACATGGAGAGAATTGTTTTAACCAATTAACGTAACCCCAATAACTGCATGACTTAACTGTGGGAGGAAATAGAGTCCCCACAGAGAATTCACTGCATACTACACTGAAAAAAATGAAATTGGGTGGTTGTTACATTTACAAAATTCTAACGTGTAATTTGATACAATCTAGTAAGAATGGTTAGTTGCCTGGACTCAAGAAATACACAAGATCACACAAGATTTGAAACTGCAGGAAAATCACTGGAGTTTTAAAAGGCAGACAACTACACACACCACATGTATGCTATCACTATTTATTGCGGTTTAAGCTGTCAAGGACAAAAACGTATGGAAAATTCTGCATCAAGCCTTGAAATCATAGCTTTTCCTACTTTTGTTAAGCCTCGGTTGACTTCTTGGTGGCGTGGTGGTTAGTGCTGTTGCCTCACAGTAAGAGCATGGGTTCACTGGTTCAAATCCACAATCTGGCTAGTTTACAGTGAGTTCCATCTGAGTACTCTGGCAAAAGCTGCCAAAGCAATTGTGTGCAACCACTGTTCACTTAAGGAAATCCAACATGCTCTTTTTTTCCAGTTTAGCTGGATTCGAACCCAGGACCTTCTTGCTGTGAGACAACAGCGCTAACCACCACACCACCAATCAAGACTTGACAGCTTAAACCACAATAAATAGCAATAACATACACGTGGTGTGTGTATGGTTGTTTGCCTCTTATAACTCCAGCGATTTTCCTGTGGTTTGAAATCTCGTGTCATCTTGTGAATTTCGTGAGTCCAGGCAACTAACCACTCTTATTAGATTTGATCAGGTCATCTGAACAAGAACAAATTAAGTTGTTGAATTTCATGCAGATCCTACATAATTTAATTATGTTCACCATAGGGACATGAAATTATTTTGTTCAAATTACAAGTTAGACTTTTGTAAATGTAACAACCACCCAATTTGCTTTTTTTGAGTGTATTTGGAGATATTTGTTGTCTTTGCTTTGCTTGTTTTTTGATTGGCTGCGGATTATTTTATATATATATTTTTATATTTCTACCAAGCTTTTAGTTATGTGATACTGTATTTCATTAAGCCGTTTTGCTTTTTAAAATCTATTTTATTACAGGAAATTTCTCTTTGTTGGGCCAAATTGTCTAAAAAAAGAAAGAAAGAAAGAAAGAAAGAAAAGCTATGATGGTTCAGTGTGCCAGTGGATTATCATCATCATCCCTTTGTTGTAATCAACAGCTTTGTCATCTGGAGGCCCCCTACCATCTATTTACCATGCCATGTGACCAATCCGATGACAACCTAAACCCCATCCTCTCACCCGTGCATGCACCACCCACACCCCTGCACCCAGCAGGATTAAACACCCCCTCGCATATGCCCTCCAGACATAACGCGTTTGTGTGTGTGTGAGGTGGGGGTGTGGGGGAGGACATGTCTCCGTGGGCACAATTTGAGTGTGAGAGCAGCAACTGTTGTTTAGCTCCTCTAATAGCAGCTTTTCTATTTAGGTGCCAGAGTCACAGGAACAGAATCTGTCGGTGGGCGTTTGAATGAAGGAGGCTGACGAGCTCCGTTAACCTGCTGCGTGCACAAATGCTCCCCGAGCGCGTGCAGCTCGGGCACGAACGCGTTATAGTTATTAGAGTGCACGGAGGCGCGCCGTCACGCACGCGCTCCCGTTTTCCTGCATCTGAAATCCTGTCACGCGCGTGTAACTGGGACTCAGGTGACAGAGGTGTGAACTCACATGCCGACGTCTCCGTAGGTATTGTAAAATTCCATATGGGTGCACGCCTGGATCCAGCCCACCACCCAGGTCTCGTTGCGCGGGACTGGAGGCATCACAATCCGCGCAGACGCTTTGAAATAGGGCGTCTTGTACCGAAGCACTATGGGCGAGCTCTCCTCGATGACCGTGGGGCAGTGGTCTATGGTGGCGGACAGGTCGCACACCACGATGCTCTCTCGTTTGATGCGTGACTTGTTACAGGCGATGCTCTGGATGCAACCCATGGCTGTGCGGGTGGAGGTGGCGGTCAGCGGCGGCTAAGTGAGCCTGACAGGCACAGCTGGCCGGGACTCCACCGACACCGCGAGGCTGTGCATCCGATGAGATTATAAGGCAAAGGTGGGTGCTACCACGCTGCAGGCCCGGGAGGGTACCCGGTAACGCAGACACCCGCCCTGCTGATGTGCGAGCACATCTGCCCGCTGCTCTGGGGCTGACCCTGCGCGCTGACCTCCGAAGGATCTGAAGCAGAAACAAGGGAGCAGATAAATCGAGTGTCACGTGAATTTTAGATGCAGGGATGATTGCATCCTCTCCTCTAAACCCCAGCGGTCAGTTTCTCCCGGAGGATGCGATCCATCCGCGCTCCTGCTGCAGTCCCTGCCCGTAACCTTTGATCCTCGCCTTTCTGCCCCGAGCTGTCATGTCACAACAGGCGTCGGGGGACCGGCGGACGCTGGGACACCGGCAGGGGGACCCGAGGATCGGGCGGCGGTGTTTGGCGGTGCTGAACCGTGCATGAGATGCTGCTGCTGATGCTGCTGGTGCTGCTGCCGGTAACCTGAGCGAGGTCGTTAGGGTCCGTCATGCCTGGCCACTCGACCGGAGGGAAGCCCGGTGGAACAAGCCGGGAGTCCGAGCATCAGCGGTGGGGTAACCAGCCTCCTTCCAGCCACCACCCGGAGGGCAATTCCCGATCAAAGCCTCTAGACCCCGGGCATCAAATCCTCGCAGTGCAGAGCGAAAGAGCGCCGAAGGATCAAAATAAGAAAAATAAGAGAAACGGTGTCATAGTAACCGCGCCGCGTGCACCGCGTCGTCCTCCGCTGAAGAAGGCTGCGTGGCTGTGCGTCGCTGTTCAGCATGCGCGGTGCTGAAGATGCTCAGCCGACCAATGAGCGGCGGAGGGAGACCGCACGGGAGCAGCTCTGCGACCTCTCCCCCCAAAAATACCAAACCCCACAAACACGGAGTCCACGCACGTGCCACTCTGCTCAATTTTTTAGGAGTGACTCCGCCCTGGCAAAGCACCTTCCCGGGGGATTTGTGCCGAAGAACAGCACCTTTAACAGGAAGGGTCGTTTAATTGGTTTGAGAACATCAGGCTTTTCAAAATAAAACTGCCACAGTCTCGGCAAAACGACATCACCTCACGGTGCTCCGGGATCTGCAGCCTTCCCCTACCTCCACCCCGGCAGGCGGAGGTTTCAGATAAAGTGTTTTACTGGCCTTGCTCACCTTACAGCTACCCAGAAATTACACTACTACTTTACATATAAGTATATATATCTACACACACACAGAATACGTTGTTCCTTTTGCTTTACGTCTTTTAACATTACAGATTTTTTTGTTTATAATAATAAAACATACATGGGACATTTCCATTTATTAATAAACAACTAGTCATAATAATATCAGATGTGGTGCCACAAAAATATATATCATTTATTGGAGATAAAGAAGCTACTTGTGAATATAAAATGCGGCAAATTGTGCTGTAGATGGAGAAGTGGGTCGATTTAAGTTGATAAAGATGGCTGAATGCAGGATGATGGCTTCTGAAAAAAGCTTAAACAAGATGCAGATTCTTATTTATATGCAGTGCTGTGAAAAAAGTAGTAACTGACATCAAACATTTAACTGGTATTGGAGGCCATTTTTGCCCAGTGTCTTTCTTATTGTTGAGTCATGACCTCTGACCTTAACAGAGCCAGATGAGGCCTGCAGGTCTTCAGATGTTGTTTTGGTTCTTCTGTGACCTCCTGGGTGAATTTTGGTGGGCTGGCCACTCCTGGGAAGGTTCAGCACTGTCTGCAGTTTCTCCACGTGTGAATAATGGATCTCACTGTGGTTCATTGGAGTCCCAGAGCCTCAGAAATGTCTCTGTAATCCTTTCCAGACTGATAGGCGTCAGTGACTTTGTTTCTCAGCTGTTTGTTTAGATCTTTTAGCCTGCTTCACGTTGTTAGACAGTTTCTATTTAGCGATTTCTTGATTCAGCAGGTCTGACAATAATCAGGCCTCGGTGTGACAGTGTAATTAAACTTTGCTTTCCAAAAACGTAGTTAATTACAGTTAATTTAGAAAGGGGAATTACTTTTTTACTGTATATATCAGGTTGACACCGAATGTTTATAAGATGGCGCAGTTCTATAATTCCAGTACTGTACAGTACAGTGCGAACTTACTAAATTTTGTGAAGAAATTGTATCTGCGTTTGGACATGTGTAATTAGTTGTTTTATCTATTTATTTCTTTTGTTTGTTTTCTTTCTGGTGTGTAATTGACCTCCTGCTTTGTTTATGTGCATCTTCACTTTTATGTGAGGAGGGGTTCAATAAAAAGAAAGAAAGAAAGTCTCTTTTTTTTATGCAACCGACGAGTTCGAGTGCTTTTATTTTGGAAATCAGCCATTTACAACCTCATGTTCTTCATTTCCGGGTCAGGTTGCTGATTCACATACAGGAGGAAAGCGGCGTGTTGGGCTTATAAAGTGTAAACATGGTGCCATTATAAAAAGCGGAGAGTCATCCCGGGTGTGTTACAGCCATGGTGAGTTTCTTATTTCACAGTTTAACTTCGCAAAAGCCCAACTTTAAAGCTAACACATGTGCTAAGCTAACCAAGCTAATGGTAATTTGGGAACCTCCAGCTAGTGATGCTGAAGCATTCACGCTGCTGAGTCAGTGAAGCAGGACTTTTTCTGTTTAGTTCGCTCCTGTAGAAACCATTAACAGAAAAAAAACAGCAACTTGACTTCATTCTAAACTGGGTCAGTAATCTTGATCTTTTTTTTCACGTTACATATTATTGAGTATTTAAAACAGCCAAGATATTAGTTAAAATTCAAGCTTTCCATCGGTGTTTGTGAGAAAAACTAAACTTTTGTTATTTGGTATTTATACCATGTTGAGTGGTCACGATTTAATATGTTAGTTACACGAATGTTACCCCTATGAGCAAGCACTTGGTGACAGTGGGAAGGAGAGAACCCCTTTTAACAGGAAGAAACCTCCGGCAGAACCAGGCTCAGGAAGGGGTGGCCATCTGCCATGACCGGACAGGACAGAAGACAAGTTATAGAAGAGAGCCAGACATTAATAATAAATAATGATTCAATGCAAAGACGTGTATAAATACACAGTAAGTGAAGAAGAAACACTCAGTGCATCATGGGAATCCCCCAGCAGGCTACACCTATTGCTGCATAACTACAGAAGGATTCTGGGTCACCTGATATGTTGCAATGAGAAAGTGTAGCTTCAGATTTGTAATCCAGTCTGAGTAAAAATACATCCAGTGAGTCTCCTGCGACCTGATGTTTTAATATATTTTCATTTTGGTGACCTGTCTCGTTTCTCCAGGTGCCTTCAGACTTTAAAGCCCTGATCCAGAGATTTTATCATCTTCAGTCTGAGCGGGTTGAAACCTACCAGCTCTTTGAAGAGTACGTTTGAATCTCTTGATAATGCTGTTAAACACACACAGTCCTGTCTCCAGTGATTACATCATGTACACAAACAAGAGGAATCTGTATTAAATGACTAATTGCCCCCCCCCCCCTGTTGTTTTTGTGATGGCTGCTGAATGTTTTCCAGGGGACACGAGGCCTACTTGAGGACAGGGCCCCATTATGACTTTGACCACTACAGGCAGCTGGTCCATGAGATAACGCAGGCGTTCTGCGGCATCTCTAAGGAAGTGCTGGAGATCAAGGGCAGGCTGCACGACGGGTTTGACAGACCAGACCTCTCCGAGCACATTGAGAAATTGCAGAACAAAGAGAAGGAGAAACTTGAACTGGTATGTAAGCACTTTCTGCATGGGTCACTTTTTAGACCGAGGCAAAGTCGAGGGGAGTCTAAAATATAATATACGTCTGTGTGGTGATGAGAGATTTCCTCAACGGGCCTTTGGCAAGAAACTATGGATGCCAGTAAACATGATCACAGTAAAGGCAACAAGGCTGTGTTATTCTCTTTGTCAGAAAGCAGCACGTTCCACTCACTTCTGACCATTTGTTAAACATAAATATGTATCCTACTTTAGCGAGCCGCCGACAGCATGCCTTATAGTACCTGCTCTGAACACAAAGACACACACGTTGTTCGCACTCGTTCAGAACATCTAAAACGGTTTGTGCTAGAAAGCAAAACTATAAATATATAGATTAAAGAAGATTATAAATGACTGACCAGAAAAGATGAGCAGTTGTCAAAGAGGAATTTGTGTTGTTTAATAATGTGGTGTTAAACCGTACCTGACAGATAATGTTTCAGAACTTTTTCCAAAACTGGATGCAATTCTACTGATTCACCACAAGGAGGCAGAGTTTTTGCTTTAAACGAAAATCATTTCTTAATCGTTCTTCAGCTGAAAGCAGATTTCCCCACCATCATTGTTGAGTGTCAGAAATCATTTGTAGAGCAGCAGTTTGTTATAAATCCTCCAGTTTACATCACCGATGGAGTAAAGCTGTGAGAAAAGCTTCTGGAGGGATATGTTTGAGATTTCATATTTGAGACCTGGATCTTTTGAGGTTGATTTATCATCATTTTTTTTTCCCCTGTCCACCTCTCACACACATACACTCTCGATGCTAAGAGTTGATTTGAAAAGGGGGAATGATCGGGTCACTGGTGTTTCTTAAGACTTGCTGTGAAGATGTGGAGATAGCAGTCGGCCTGTGGACTCATATTTCCATCACCGTCAAAACTGGACACACCTTTTCGACTTACTTTGTATTAAAATTGTATTAAAAGTAAACAGAATCATCTGCTAGGAGTTAAATTGCTTCAAAAAGGCACAGCACCACAAACACAAGTCTAGTTTGCTGGGATGAAATCCAGCAGTGAGCTGCCATCCGTCAGCCTCCACCGGTCATTCAAAGTGACCAGCCTGTAAGCTTTAGTATCACTTTAAATCAACACACTGTTTAAAGATATATGTGGTGATTTTTTTCTTTTTTAGTGTGAAGGGGAAAATTAGCTACAGAAACCAAAAACCTTTCTTTAAAGCAGAATGGAAACATGATTACTGCACAAGCAAGTCCTTCATCCCGAGGTAAAATGCCCAGCACAAAACCCCCTCCATAATAATGTTACCATGGTGATTTAAGTTAGGGGAGTGGCCGTTTTGATTGACAGCTGTGCAGATGCAGCCTGCTGTAGCTGGAAGCTTCACCTCCACCAGTTTGAACTACTGTAACGAACCTCTTGACCTTTTTTAAATCTTTATTATTATTAAAAATGTTGACGTCTAGGCTGGATGTTTGGTTATTAAATGATCGTTTTGTTATACCACTATAAATCATAAGAACTGTGCTTCCTTACCAGCTTACAGCAAAATAAATACCATGATGTGACCTATAACGAAGGAGAAAAGGCTAACTTAATTTTGAATGACACCATACTTAAAATCACTTGCAGAATAATTTTCTCTCCTTTCCTGTGTAATACCTGAAGTCATGCACTATTAAAGTTATTTAAACACTATAGATCTGTGTTTCCTTATTCTAGTGTGCCTACCTGCAGGTATTTGTAGATAAATATAATTTTACTGTCATTTCAAATGTGAAACATTGAAGTTCCTTTTAATTACGGGCAGTATTACAGAGTGTTGGACAAATTTGACCACCTCAGTGCTTCCCACATTTTCACAGACTTCGGTACATCTGGTGTTCAGAGATGTTGCTTTGTTCTTTTGTATAAAGGTTTACATTCCTCTATAATTCAGCTCCCTTTCTTCCAGTAATGTTATAAAGCTCCCATTATCTCCGGGTTAATCATCCGCCTTTCCTCCATCCTCTGCTGATGAGTGGTTTGCATAAATCTTATCTGATGTGCCCTCTCAACAGACGGCTAAGCTGCAGCTGGCCAAGCAGCAGGCCCAGGATCAGCCGGAGGACCAGAGCTGTCAAGAACAGATTCAGGAGATCAAGCATAAGTAAGAGCTGCCATTACAGTCCCTCAGTTTACTGTGCTCGCTTCCCATCAGCTCGCTGCTGAGAGGCTCAGTTCTTCTTCTAATTGATCCGATAATCTTTGTAACTGTTCCATATCAAACCAGCACAAATAAAAGTGTGTGTGTGTGTGTGTGTGTGTGTGTGTGTGTGTGTTGCTTCGTTGCCCAGGATCATCCAGAACAAAGAGGCTCTGAGTGAGATCATGCAGGACTTCAAGTATGACTCAGAGGAGTGCGACTGACAGCTCGCTCCCAGGAGGTAGCCTCTGTCTCGGACACTTTGAGCTGCACTTATCGATCCCCTCCCCCTCCACCCGGCTCCACCCAGCTCGCCGCTGCAGTCTTATTCCTCCCGGAGGGCCTTTAACATCCATCCTGCGTGAGTGTTT